AACTTATATGCAAAATAGAACAGACCCACAGACATAGAAAACAAACTTATGGTTACCAAAGGGGAAAGGAAGGGTGAGAGATAAATTAGGAGTTTGGGATTAACAGATACGCACTACTATACATAAAATAGATAACCAACAAAGACGTACTGTATAGCACAGGGAACTATACTCAATATTTTATAATAACCTATAATGGAAAATAATCTGAAAAAAAAAGATATATATGTATGTATAACTGAATCACTTTTCTGTACACCTGAAACTAACAACATTGTAAATCAACTACATTTCAATAAAAGAATAAAATATTTCCTAGCCACATGCTATTATCATGTTGCTCATTTACCACTTGCCCTGCCTCGCCCCACTGCCCCACATCTAGTCTCCAACAAATAAATAATGAACATGTGCCAACATTCATTTAACCTGTTAGTAAGAAACAGGAAGACAAAACAAATTGTCCCAACAGCATTAAGGAACAGAACTTTACACAGTCAGCCAGGAAAGGAATACCAACATAAGACTACTGAGTTAGATATAAGCCTGGTGAACTTTTCACAGCCCAATAAACCAAATCAACTTTGGTCCAACTTTTCTAAAGAGGCTGCAGAATTACAACATCTTGTCAATGTCTGCAGGTTAACTGATAACTATATAGGGCTTTAAATTCTGCACCTTTGTTGTAAATTGTTGATCAAATATACGGCAACGTTCTCCAAGAAAGCTCCATTAGTATCAAACAGGCTTATTAAAAAAGGCTTTGGCATAATATCAAAAAGTCAAGAAATTGTCACTCTGCCTTTTTTCCAAGTTTGAAAAATTTTTTAAAAAATAGAACAAGAGCTCTATTCTTCCTATACAGAGAGGATTGCTTATTGGCTTGTCATCTTGGACCTGGAGCTCAATGTAGCACCCATGAGAATTGGGTTGTCTCCATCCAGCAGTAGAGGGGAGCGATGGGGGAGGATTTTTTTTGGTAAGCATGAGCATCTTAGAAAGCTTACCTTAGGAAATAAGGTACATGGGGGTTCTAGGCAACCAAAATGGAGTAATGTAGTGGGCATTTGCCATTCTGAGCAGCCAAACTCAAATTGCTCCCTTGTCTTGATAACAAAAATCCCAATTTCTTCTGTCTGGAATGATCTTTGCCCAGTTAATCAGATGTCTTGCTCCTTCAGCTTCTTCACATATTTGCTCCAATGTCACTTCCTCAGTGAGGATTTTCTGGAACCTCATAATTACAATTTGAAATCTTGGGCTTCCCTGGTGGCGCAGTGGTTAAGAGTCCGCTTGCCAATGCAGGGGACACGGGTTCGAGCCCTGGTCCGGGAGGATCCCACATGCCGCAGAGGCTAGGCCTGTGTGCCACAACTACTGAGCCTGCGCTCTAGAGCTCGCGACCCACAACTACTGAAGCCCATGCGCCTGGAGCCCATGTTCCGCAACGGGAGAGGCCACCACAGTGAGAAGCCTATGCACCACAACAAAGACCCAACACAGCCAAAAATAAATAAATAAAATTTCAAATCTTGGTGGGGGGCTGGTGGTGGGATGAATTGGGAGATTGGGATTGACATATATACACTAACATATATACACTAAACTAATATGTATAATATAGATAAAAGTTCAGTGGCCCACAATTTTTACTTAATGTATTACATGAAATTTTCCCCACGACAATAAATATCCTTCTAAAATATGAAACAAAAAAATAAAGTAAAATTTCAAATCTCCACCAGCACTTTCCAGTACTCTTCCATACACTGTTTTCCCCATAGCACTATTGCCACCTGAATTGGTATACATATTTGTTTCCTAGGGCTACTGTTGTTACAGTATTAACTAATTTGTTAATTAATTAAAACTTAACTAATTTGTTAATTACAACAAACTTGATAGCTTAACACCACAGATTTATTTTCTTACAATGATGGTGGTCAGAGGTCCAAAATCTGGTGCCTCCTTTGGAAGTTCTAGGGCAGAATCTTTCCCTGCCTTTTCCAGTTGTTGGTGGCTCCAAGCATTCCTTGTTTTACGGCATCATAACTCCAGTCTCTGCCTCCATCTATCTTCACATGGCCTTTCCCTCAGCCTTCTCCCCTTCTCTCTCTTAAAGGAACATATCATTGGATTTAGGGTCCACCCAGATAATCCAGGATGATCTTATTTGGAGATCTTTAATTTAATTACATTTCAAAGACGCTTTTTTCCAAATAAATTCACAATCACAAGTTCCAAGTTGAGGATGTGGACATATATTTTGAGAACCACCATTCAACCCACTACATTATGTATGTATGTATATATGTATTATAAATGTAAAAATATATTGTCTGCTATCTGTTCCTACCTACGAGGGTGACAAGTTTTTGTGTTTTGTTATTGTTATATCCCTATCACTTGTACCTAGTACATAGTAGATACTCAATAAATACTAGTTGAATGAGTTAATTAATATAGTCCCTTTAAAAATATACTGCATGTATAAGTAATATTTTTTTATTTGATGAAGCTTCTTATAAGCTTGGTTGATTATAACTAATCCTGAGGGATTATAATTAAATCCCGCTAAAACTGACTACCAGAGTTTGTATTACGGTTACCTAAACCCACGCAGGCTGGCTCAAAACTTATCACTTGCTTTATGCATCTCACCTTACAAATAGCTCTCTTCTGTGTGCATTTATCCATTACACTGCTATTAAACATCTTCTCTCTGCTGAGGCTGATTCCCATCTTGGTCTGATCTGTACCGTCTACTTTTCGGAGGCCATGCATTTAGATATTCTTCTCACAAAGAGGTCAAGGCTACATTTTGCTGATTCCCATCTGCTCTTTGAAACACAACAGAATTTATGAAGAAATTCTACTTCCATGCTCTCCCTCATTCAGACACTTCTGAAAATAATAAAGAAACAAGCATCCCCTTCTATCGGGAGTCTCCCAGCTTATATACACGAAGCTCAGGCAGTGTGGACAGTTTCAGACAGGTCGAGGGCACAATCTTCCCCACCAGTTTCCTCGTGTAAACCCTCACCAACCTTCAGCTTGCTTAGGTCTCACGCTGGTCAACGTTTTTAACAATGAAGATCTTTTGCATCATGCCAGGTGATCTTCAAGACCACTGTGTAAAGGAAGCAGAGTGAGCATCATTATTCCTATTTTACACGTGAGGAATCTGTTTCAGAGAGTTTAGATGGTTTGTTTCAGCTCACATGACAAAAATATACCTGGGAATAAAACTCAGATTGTCAACAACCAGTTGCTTGTTTACACCCCTCATTTCCTGATTTCTGCTAAAGGTGTCTTTGCCTGTTTTTCCGTGTACACATTTCATAGCCGTATATGACTGTACTGTTATGTTTTGAATCATCTGAATTATCTCAAAAATAATCACTTATCTTTATATGTTTGGGTTTTAAATGGAAATACATTTATAACCACTTCTTTATGTATGAAGGGACCAAAATATGTTCTAGGAGCAAACATTAAATCATTTCCATTATAAGAATCATGCCCTTTTGTATCTTTATTCTCTAAAGAGGTTTGCATTTTACCTTTGTTTCTTTCTTTCCTGAGGAGTATACTTCACATGTGTCCATTTTTATTTTATTAACAGTTCTCTAGATATAGTAATTGATTATTCCAACCACATCCCTGCACAACTGGCTTCCACACTAGGCTTGCTAAAGACGCATGTTTCCTCTCTGGGGAGATCCCATGAGCTAAGAAAGGACCTAGGGCTTAGAGTGAGCGGATCTGGGTTTTGACCTCTGCTCCCCACTGTCTGTGGTTATTCATTATTTACTTCCTTCTGTTCTGGAAGTTTGTAAAATGCAGCAAAGAGCCCACCTAATGGCTCTTACTTCAGAAGAAAGAGAAAACGTTCTTGAAAGTATTGTTTGTGAAAGAGGATGCAAATTATAAAAGCCATTCTGTTTTAAACTGCTCTAATGGAAGACTTAAACTCCCACTGACATCAGCATGTTACATTGAATACAACTTAAACTATAGCTCCCTTTGCCATTGTCAGAACTATGAATCGAGAGTGGGCATATCCATGTGCCCTTCTGCAGGTGTGTGGGCTCATTTTATCGAAAAGGTAAGGCGTACATGGGTAGGGTGTCAGATAAACAAGTAGGAGAGTTGAGAGACTCTGTGGTATAGGACGAAAATCTGTCAATTGCTAAGACTGGGCGAGTTATTTGTATATGAGGTGAGGGAGTGAGCCCAGAGGAAGTAAAAGAAAACTGAAGAGGAATGAGGGAACACTGGGATCAGAAGAAAGGAGGACTGTGAGGGCAAGCTTCCATTAGCAAATAATATATGAGATGATATTTATTTATCAGCTATTATGTGCTCATCCACTCGAGGATACAAATAAACATACTGTGACATCTAGGAGGGAAATATGAAATTCAACACAAAACAACTGAATAAGTTATATAAGAAGACAAAATATCATTGAAAAAGGTCCAGTTCACTTACGGATAACAGAAAGCACTCCAGCTGTTTGAAGCAGAAAGGTACTTAACGCAGGGAAATTGGTGCTTACAAAAAGTGCTGAAAGGCGTAGAGGAACAGTCTCTAGTCTCTGCCACCAAGACTGACTCCTGGCATAACATCCAGAATGGACTGTTGAAGCAGCTGCTACCTCTGTCTCAGTCAGGAAACTGAGAAGTCAGGGAGCTGTCAGCAAATCTGTTTCCCCCGAGTGTTTAATGCTTGCTAGATAAAACAGCTAATTCACATGCTGCCATCTCTCTCTCCCACTTAACTCAGGAATTTACTCACAGTCTTAGAAACCCCATTTTGGATCAGAGCCAAAGGGAGTTCTCTATTCAAGGGGTATGCCCTTAGAACACAGACCGATGCACACCTCAGGACACAGCCAAGAGCCCGCGGTTACTGTGGATGTGGTGAGGTCACAGTAACGTGCGTAATATCCACGTGAGGCATTAAAGGAGAAAGGATGGAGGACGGAAGAGCAGGCACCGAATCAAACTACTTCTTTCTAATCAATTATAACAGACTCGCCAGATCGGCTGGCCTGGCAGTAAGCCAGTTTCTTCAGAGCCTCTCTGACCTCTCGGTTCCTTAGGCAATAAATGAAAGGGTTAAGAGCAGGGGTAACAATGGCACAGAAGATGGAAATAACTTTGTTCATGTTGAAGGCATGAATGGCTCGGGGCCAGACATACGTGAAAATAGTAGCTGAAGAGAAGATGGTGCCCACCACGAGGTGGGAGGCACAAGCAGGAAACGCCTTCTGCTTTCCTGTGGGCATGCATAGGATGGTGGCCAGAATGCATCCATAGGACAGGACAGTGAGAGCAGGGGGGGAGAGGAAGATGACCAGTGCCAGGACAAAGTCCCCCAATTCAGCTGTGGACATGTCTGTGCAGGAGAGGTTAAGTACTGGACAGATATCACAGAAGAAATGATCGATGATATTGGGGCCACAGAAGCTGAGGCAAGAGATGCAGTAGATCTTAGCCAAGGAGATGCCAAAGCCATTGGTACAGGAACCAAGAGGCAGGAGGAAGCAGAGCCCATGGCTCATAATGGTGGGGCAGTGCAGTGGGCGGCAGATGGCCACATAACGGTCACAGGCCACGGCAGCCAGGAGCACACGTTCTGTGCACATGAGTGCAATGAAGAAGTAAAGTTGTATCATACAGTGAGTGAAGGAGACGCTGTAGCTCACGGACCAAAAACTAAACAGCAACCTGGGTACAGTCACAGAGATGCACCAGGTCTCCAAGGACAGGTTGGCCACGAAGAAGTACACAGGCTTGTGCAGTGGCAGGTTCTGCTGCACCAACACGACGATGATCACATTTCCAGCCACTGTCGGAATATAGGCCACGAGCAACATGAGGAACACTGTTGCACGCACACCCCAGTTCCCAGGAAACCCCACCAGAATGAACCTGGTGACCCGTGTCTGGTTCTCCACTTCCATATTGGAGACACAGGGCTTAACTCTCCTGGGGGAAAAAATCACTTGGTCAGACTTCCACCTTTTGCCTTCTCTGACTAGTAATAACAGTAACAGATATCATGTTTTAACAGTATATTATAGGCTAGATCATACACTGGGTACATTATGCACATAATGTAATTTGATTCTCACACAGCCTCTTTACACATGTTATTATACCCACCTTAGTAATGAAGAAACTGAGCTTTGGAAAGGTACTAAGTTACTTAACCACATTCCCACTGGCAGCAGGGCAGGAATCACATTCAAGTCCAAGTCTAAACAACATGCTCTATCTAATATCCTACACTGCCCTTCACAACCACACCCAAATTAAACAGTATCAAACCACCATGTTCCATGTTACCATTGCCAATTCTAAAGGATACACCTGGCTTTCCTGGCCTTTCATCCACCCAGAGCTCTGGAAATTCTACCTTTACAATTCATTTATCCCTCACATGCCAATACTTTTTTCCCTCTACAATCCATGGAGATGGAGTGAAACGTGTCATATTCTGTGAGGTGCATGAGAAGGTGTGACAAGGAGAGTTAGGCTTTTCAGTATTAAAAACCTGGACCTCAGTCAAGTACCAGGTTTGCCCAGAGACTGAGATATGAACCTTGAAATCTTGTCCTCTCTGAAACCCAATTTCCTCTTCTGCAAACGTGAATGTTAGTATTTATCTAGCTTATGTCAACGTGGATCAAAACCCAAATGAAATAATGTAAATAAAATTTTATATAAACTCTAAATGACAGTAAGTGTGAAAGGGCTCTTACCCCATATTCGGGCATTAAAAAGTAGGGATGGACTAATAGTAGTGAGGAGAGTAACTGCTATGGGCCAAGCAGAATGGTGAGCACACTTGAGCTTCCTCCTGGGGAGATTTAAGTCCTTGGGGGTGGAGGTGAGAGTCTCTCGGAGAAGATTTTTTATAAAATAAGCAAACAATAAGAAATACATAATAAAATATGAGACATTTTCTATAAAGGTTAAAAAACTGAACATGATACTCATGTGATTGGGGAAGGTCTCTCTGACCTCTGGGGAGGTAACATTAAGAGAGAGAAGGATGCCAGGGCCCCAGCCCATTGAAGAGTGAGGTGGGAGAGAGCTGCACTGAGATGAGGCCAGTGCTGTGCTGTGATGGATGGGGGAGGGAGCACAGGAATAGGTGGGAAAGGTGGGCAGGGCCAGCATGAGCAAGACCCCATAGGTCATAACAGGGGATCCGAATAGTGGTCTAAAAGCAATGAGAGAGATAGCTCCAAGATGGTGGAGGAGTAAGACGTGGGCATCACCTTCCTCCCCACAAATACATCAAAAATACATCTACGTGTGGAACAACTCCTACAGAACACCTACTGAACGCTGGCAGAAGACCTCAGATTTCCCAAAAGTCAAGCAACTCCCCACGTACCTGGGTAGGGCAAAAGAAAAAAGGAAAAACAGAGACAAAATAGGGACGGGACCTGCACCAGTGGGAGGGAGCTGTGAAGGAGGAAAAGTTTCCACACACTAGGAAGCCCCTTCACGGGCGGAGACAGGGGGTGGACGGGGGGAAGCTTCGGAGCCACGGAGGAGAGCACAGCAACAGGGGTTCAGAGGGCAAAGCGGAGAGATTCCCACACAGAGGATCAGTGCCAACCAGCACTCACCAGCCCGAGAGGATTGTATGCTCACCTGCCAGGGCAGGAGGGGGCTGGGAGCTGAGGCTTGGGCGTTGGAGGTCAGATCCCAGGGAGAGGACTGGGGTTGGCTGCGTGAACACAGCCTAGTGCGCCACAGCTAGCCAGGAGGGAGACCTGGAAAATGTCTGGAACTGCCTAGGAGGCAAGAGACCATTGTTTCGGGGTGCACAGGAGAGGGGATTCAGAACACTGCCTAAACGAGCTCCAGAGACGGGTGCAAGCCGTGGCTGTCAGCATGGACACCAAAGATGGGCATGAAACGCTAAGGCTGCTGCTGCAGCCACCAAGAAGCCTGTGTGCGAGCACAGGTCACTCTCCACACCTCCCCTCCAGGGAGCCTGTGCAGCCCGCCACTGCCAGGGTCCCATGATCCAGGGACAACTTCCCCGGGAGAACACATGTCGTGCCTCAGGCTGTTGCAACAACACGCCGGCCTCTGCCACCGCAGGTTCATACTGCATTCTGCACCCCTCCCTCCCCCCGGCCTGAGTGAGCCAGAGCCCCTGAATCAGCTGCTCCTTTAACCCCGTCCTGTCTGGGCAGGAACAGATGCCCTCAGGCAACCTACACCCAGAGACGGAGCCAAATCCAAAGCTGAGCCCCGGGAGCTGTGCGAACAGAGAAGAGAAAGGGAAATCTCTCCCAGCAGCCTCAGGAGCAGTGGATTAAATCTCCATAATCAAATTCATGTACCTGCATCTGTGGAATACCTGTATTCCGGGTACAAATCATCAAATAATACAACAAATCATCCCCAAGTTGAGGCGGTGGACGTTCCGATCAACTGTAGACTTGGGGTTTGCTTTCTGCATCTAAATTGTTTCTGGTTTTATATCTATCTTAGTTTAGTATTTAGAGCTTATTATCCTTATTACCATTGGTATATATGCTTATTGATTTAGTTGCTCTCTTCCTTTATATATATATATTTTTTTTCCTTTTTCTCCTTTTGTGACTGTGTATGTGTACGCTTCTTTGTGTGATTTTGTCTCTACAGCTTTGCTTTTACCATTTGTCCTGGGTTCTGTTCGTCAGTTTTTATTTTTTTTATATTTTTAGTATAGTTTTTAGCACTTGTTATCATTGGTAGATTTGTTTTTGGTTTGGTTGCTTTCTCCTTTTTTTAATTACTTTCTTATTTTTAATAATACTTTTTAAAAAATAATTTTATTTTCTTTCTTTTTTCTTTTTCTTTTTTTTTCTCCCTTTTCTTCTGAGCCGGGGGGCTGACAGAGTCTTGGTGCTCCAGCCGGGTGTCAGGCCTGAGCCTGTGAGGTGGGAGAGCCAAGTTCAAGACATTGGTCCACCAGAGACTGCCCAGCCCCACGTAATATCAAACAGCGAAAGCTCAGAGATCTCAGACTCAGCACTAAGACCCAGCTCCACTCAATGACCAGCAAGCCACATTACAGGGCACCCTATGCCAAACAACTGGCAAGACAGGAACATAAACCCACCCATTAGCAGAAAGGCTGCCTAAAATCATACTAAGTTTATGGACACCACAAAACACACGACCAGATGTGGTCCTGCCCACCAGAAAGACAAGTTCCAGCCTCATCCACCAGAACACAGGCACAAGTCCCCTCACCAGGAAGCCTACATAACCCATTGAACCAGGCTTAACCACTGGGGGCAGACACGAAAAACAACAGGAACTATGAACCTGCAGCCTGCAGAAAGGAGACCCCAAACACAGTAAGTTAAGCAAAATGAGAAGACAGAGAAATACACAGCAGATGAAGGAGCAAGGTAAAAACCCACCAGACCTAACCAATGAAGAGGAAATAGGCAGTCTACCTGAAAAAGAATTCAGAATGATGACAGTAAAGAGGATCCAAAATCCTGGAAATACAATGGAGAAATACAAGAAATACAAGAAACATTTAACAAGGACCTAGAAGAACTAAACAGCAAACAATGATGAACAACACAATAAATGAAATTAAATAAATGAAATTAAAAATTCTCTAGAAGGAATAAATAGCAGAAAAACTGAGGAGGAAGAATGGATAAGTGACCTGGAAGATAAAATGGTGGAAATAACTACTGCAGAGAAGAATAAAAAAAAAATGAAAAGAATTGAGGACAGTCTCAGAGACTTCTGGGAAAACATTAAACGCCCCAACATTTGAATTATAGGGGTCCCAGAAGAAGAGAAAAAGAAAGGGTCTGAGAAAATATTTGAAGAGATTACAGTTGAAAACGTCCCTAATATGGGAAAGGAAATAGTCAATCAAGTCCAGAAAGCACAGAGAGTCCCATACAGGACAGATCCAAGAAGAAACATGCCAAGACACATATTAATCAAACTATCAAAAATTAAATACAAAGAACAAATATTAAAAGCAACAAGGGGAAAGCAACAAATAACATACAAGGGAATCCCCATAAGGTTAACAGCTGATCTTTCAGCAGAAACTTTGCAAGCCAGAAGGGAGTGGCAGGACATATTTAAAGTGATGAAAGAGAAAAACCTACAACCAAGATTACTCCACCCAACAAGGATCTCATTCAAATTCGATGGAGAAATTAAAACCTTTACAGACAAGCAAAAGCTAAGAAAATTCAGCAGCACCAAACCAGCTTTACAATAAATGCTAAAGGAACTTCTCTAGGCAGGATATACAAGAGAAGGAAAAGACCTACAATAACAAACCCAAAACAATTAAGAAAATGGTAATAGGAACACACATATCAATAACTATCTTAAATGTAAATGGATTAAATGCTCCAACCAAAAGACATAGACTGGCTGAATGGATACAAAAACAAGACCTGTATATATGCTATCTACAAGAGACCTACTTCAAACCTAGGGACACATACAGACTGAAAGTGAGGGGAAGGAAAAAGAAATTGCATGCAAATGGAAACCAAAAGAAAGCTGGAGTAGCAATTCTCATCAGACAAAAAAGACTTTAAAATAAAAACTATTACAAGAGACAAACAAGGACACTACATAATGATCAAGGGATCAATACAAGAAGAATGTATAACAACTGTAGATAATTATGCACCCAACATAGGAGCACCTCAGTATAAAAGGCAAATGCTAACAACCATAAAACGGGAGATTAACAGGAACATGATAATAGTGAGGGACTTTAACACCCCACTTTCACAAGTGGATAGATTATCCAAAATGAAAATAAATAAGGATACACAAGCTTTAAATGATACATTAAACAAGATGGACTTAATTGATATTTATAGGACATTCCATCCAAAAACAACAGAATACACTTTCTTCTCAAGTGCTCATGGAACATTCTCCAGGATAGATCATATCTTGGGTGACAAATCAAGCTTTGGTAAGTTTAAGAAAATTGAAAT